TAAAAGAAAGGTTGCTGCATTAATATATATATATATATATATATATATATATAAAAGTGAACATAGAAGTCTGTTTCATGCAAGATGCAATCGTCAGGCCTGACAATTGCATCTAGCATGAAACAGACTGTCGCCTCTAAGTGTTGACTTCTATGTTCACTTTTATATTTACACACGCTCTATCTCTGATATTGAGCACTTTACCTCATAAATATTGCAAACCTTAAGACTATATTTCTTCATATATATATATATATATATATATATATATATATATATATATATATATATATATATATATGTGGCCTAAACATTTATGCAGACTCTGTTAATAACAACTATGATTTGTTAAAAATTAATTCACCCCAAGCAAGGCGATAATGCCACTAAGACGCAAGGGGACTACTGGGAATCAAAGAGAATAAGAAGACTTCAGAAGGTACCGGAAAGCCAATTCTAAACAGGAAACAATGGATAAGCCTCTAATCCTTTTCAAAAGTCCATGGAGGAGGGTAAATCGGACGATTAGTGAACCTATCTACTGCTATTAAATTCTGCGCGCTTTATCCTCTACTAAAAATGATTATAAAGAAATTATGTAATATTAAAATATGATAAAACAGACACACAGCAGATCAGTTGCGATGTTGTTTTTTTAGCGTTTCTTATTTACTAAATGATCTTCTTCAGGACGTAGGCTATCAGAATTTCTTATCTTTTGTAGCTCTTAATCAAATTTTGTCATTTCGTTATTTCTCTTAACCCCTGTTAATGTATACATTTAATTAAGCCCAGTAAGTATATTATGAGTTATTTCCCTTAGTCAAGAGTTCATATTTACTTGGCTGATTTCATTTAAAACTGAAAATAAGGCTGACTAAAAAAAACAAAAAACTTACCTTATTATCGGTTCTGTGAATGCCGACCATAAAGAGAAGTTCAGCCGCGAACAAACAAAAAACAAGGTTTTTGTGAATGGAATTTCTCTCCCCACGGATCGATCTGTAAATAAAGCGATAATCAAAGGACAAAATAAATTGTGTCTAGAAAATCTTCACAACTAGCGAGATGGACAGACAAACTGAGAAATAAACAAGGTGTGTATCTATCTATCTATATATATTTAACTGATTAAAATAAAACCTGGTCATTTTTTAATAGGGAAAGATATGCTTTTAAGAGTATATATTTCTTCCAACTGAAAAATTAAGACCCAGAGAGTTACATTGACCTACGAAAAGTCATGGAATGGCAGTATGCAAAGGTCATGGTACATGGAGCCACTGTGACATGGTATTTGGTCAGTCAGTATAATCACTGCTTAGGATGTTCATGACATGACGATATTATCGGAATTCGATCGGGGCATGTTAGTGTGGCCCAGGCGTACTGGACATTCAGTATCTGAAATTGTGAAGACATTTGACATCATGGAAATGTACAGACCCATAGACGCAAATTGTGCTCTGGCATCTGTCGAGACAATACGAACACCAGCCAGGTTAGGTAAATTATCGGAGTTGGAACGAGACATGAATGTGGGGATAGTTGTCATCTCTTGATCTACGGTGTCAGGCGTTTATTGACAGAAAGCATTGGGGAGAGCGCATTGACATAACCCGGGTCCTTAATAAATCATGGCAGGACACATTTGGTTGTTAGAATTATCCGTGACGACAGACAAGCGACATTGAGTCAAATAACATCGACATTCTATTCCTTGATCGATTGATTTGTTTTTTACGGCTTATCAACCTTTTGCATGTTATTTAAAGTCAGAAAATATTTCTAGATTGTAAGAATTTTTCGGGGATAATGATTTTCACTGATACAAGTTTTACTAATTACCCCATAGCTGGGGTGGGTCGAGAAGATGCGGATTTATATATTTCTCAATAATATATGCATATAAGTGAACATAACGAAACTCAATTGCACGGCTCACCGATTTCCAATTACGAGCCATTATCCATTACATTGCCGCACATTCGAGCTTACAGCACGTTGTATACGCAAGCTGTCACCCATCTCGATACTGACCAGGCTCGATGTTGCTTAACTTCGGTGATCGTACAGGAAACATTATTTCAACGTAATATGGCCGTATGTCGATATTTGATTCAAGAGATACCACACTCATATGTATCCGGTCAGTTCTGTACTTTCCATGAGTTACAAGAGCAGAAGATTCTCCTCGGGTGTCCTGTCAATTTTTCACTTGTGCCTGTCGATGTCGCTTATTTGACTCTAGACGACTGGCAACCTCTATGGTATAATCCGATGAATCATAGTTGCAATCGTTTTGGGATAATGGTAGTGGTTCGCAAATGCCATGAGAACATGGACCCCAATTGTCAACAAGGTACCGTACAAGCTGATGGTGGTTCAATAATGGTTAGGGGTGTGTAGCATTGTTTGGGTCCTCTGATCGGTCTGAACCGGTGACCAACACGTTGCACTGAATGATGACTGTGTGGATTCGCTCATGGACTCTGTATACCGTAACCAAAACGATTTAATCCAGTAAGGTAAAGCACCATGTCATCAGATTCAAGTTACTCGGAAATAGTTCGAGGAGCATTCTGGAGATATACGATTAATGGTGTGGACACTATGTTCGCCCGACATGAGCCCAATCGAGCAGTTACAGTGAATCCAGTATCTGTCTATATTTATGAAATGAGGTATTATTCACACTATTTACATTATTCGGACTATTGTCCTCATCTTTGTCGCCATATTTATTATAACGGCCGAAACGCTGTGATAAATATGGCGACAAAGATGAGGACAATAGTCCGAATAATGTAAATAGTGTACAGTGAATTCGTCTATTCGCACGCAAAATCATGAAAAATGTCAGCTATTGAGATGGCATGTCTTAACATAGTTTTATAAATTTTATGACAACTTCAAAAAAAAAAAAAATCTTTTCATCCCTAGCAAGGCGATAAAGCCACTAAGACGCAAGAGGTTACTGAGAGTGAAAGAAATTGAGAAAACTTTATTGGTGGAGAAAGAGCAATGCAAGAACATAAAAGTAGATGACGATTGACGTTGTAGTTTTGTGTAGATTATATTTGACAGGAAAGCAAGAAGCTACGATAGAGTTTTACAAGCGAGAGGAGAAACTATTTGAATAGAACTTATGGTTACATCGAGTCATTTCAACAGTGAAATTATTAGATCTAGCCATCAATCTAATGCCACGCTTAAATTCATGAAGTCGAAAACACAAAAATAGTGACAAACTGTGTTTGATATAAAAAAAGAAAATTAATTCGTTTTTTTTTTACGGCTTATCAACATTCTGCAGGTCATTTCAAGCCAGAAAATATTTTTTAGATTGTAAGAATTTACTGATACACGTCCTACTTATTAACCCATAGCTGGGGGAGAAAGATGGATTCATACCGAACGCAGGAATGATTCTAGAATAGAACAAGCAACAACGAAAATATGTAGTTGGTGATTAACGTCAGGATAAAACACTTTTCTATATTTGAAAATATGAACTTTGTTTCCTTTGCCAATAATTGGATAAATGAATACTCACGGGACCAACATGAATGTAATCCAGCTTAGGAAAAGACAAACAAGTGAAATGGCGCATCCGACATAAGTGATGATCCTTAGGGCGTTTTGGTGGGAAAGCGATAACTGTAAAACAAAAGAATACTCTTGTAGCAACAGAAAACAGATTGGGATTTTTGAAAATGGTATTTATGATAAGCTCTCGATATTAAATTTGCAACCCGAATCAGAAGTCATCAAGTAGAAGACCGGAAACGTTAACCAGATATGACTTTTCTCAACTTTACCATTTCAAGGTAACTCAAATGTAAATTCAATTTGTGGACGATCAGCACAATTTAAACCCTCTCTATCATATATACGAGGTCTTTCTGAAATGTAACGGGACTTGTGCCACAAACAATTTATTTAAATTCCAAGCAACAAACTACTTGGTTTCCCCTTCAAAGTAAACCTCCTTAAGTCTAATGCACTTTTCCATTCCTTCTATTCAATACTGGAAGGAGCAAGAGCAGGTGAATAGGAAGGTTGTTTCAATACGGCAATGTTCTCAGCCAGGAACGGCCGGATGCTCAGGGCGTTATGAACAAGTGCATTGTCGTAGTGAAACAACCACAATTTCTCCTGCCACAACTCTCGCGTGTGAAAAAAAAATGTAAAGCTCAGATTACAGTTATATACACCCAAGATATCATATTAGATGATAACCCAACTCGATTATCCATCTTTCGCCCAGAACTCACATAACATACCCAGTTCCGTTGCTTTTCAGACAGACCTCTTATTTTGGTAATAAAAGGTTCAGTTCAGAATTTTCCGTTTCTTAATACTTTGCTTAGCTTTTGGAAGTCATCTTTCGCTATCCCATTCGGATTTTAGTGTCGCACTTTCCGTCCTCAGCCTGGAAAACGAATTCTCTTAAGGCAAATATCAAGGATTACCTTAATTCCCTCAACGTCCATCAAAATGGCGAAGTTAGTCAGATGGTTGCACTTGCATGTCGTGCTTTGGGCATTGGTACTGACAAGCGAACAACCCTCTTGAGACCAGCAGTAAGACCGGGAGCTGAAAAAAAGTTAATCATTTCATTAACTAATCATCAAATGAACTAATCATTCAACTAATACACTATAATTTAGTTAAGTAATCTATATATAAAATTCTGTGACTTCCGTTAGTCCGTCCATCCGTCCGTCACCCCCTTTAAAATAATTATACATTGACCCGATCACAACCAAAGTTTGGGGAGAAGTGCAAACGGGCAAGGTGGGGGGGTAGAAATTAAGTTGGTTTTACTAGGGTGCGTAGCTTAGTACAATAAATTTTCATTCATTTATTTGAAAAATTAAAAGTTTTATTATTTAACATGCAAAGTACTCCTACTATTTATATAAAAAAAATTAATGATTAAAATAACAAATACTTATTTAATAAAAATGCAAAATTGTTTTTTTTTGCATATCTTTTCTTTAAGTTTTTATATATACAAGAATCCAGATTCCAGTTCGCCTTGCGTTTGCGAGAACTATAAACAAATCACAAGGCTAATTGTTTTAAAAAGTTGGAATTTGAAAGAAATATTTATGCATAGCTAGTTGTATGTTGAATGCTCAAGAGTAAGAATTTGTTTTTCGCTGTTAAATTGGAAAAAAAGAAATTTTCTTAAAATTATTGTTTACCATGAAGTCCAATAAAGTTAAATTAAATTAAAGAAGTCATTAAACCGAAAAGTAGGTTTTTTGCCAAAGTATTTTTCCAAACAAATTAGCTTATTGAAATTTCATCGATTGGTTTGCGAAATTAATCGAAATGTGGAGTTTGTAAAACTCGACACAAAATGTTAGCGATACATTTAACAATAATAAATTCTGTGAGGCACGTCAGCGTGTTGCAAAACAATTCTCGTCCATTTATAATGCTAAAAACGTAGAATTCTTTCATTCGAGTTGAAGCTCTATGGTAAGGCCGTTTTTCTTCTTTGATATCCTGTATCTCAAGCAATTCACATGTTAATTGTTATAAAAGAAACTCACATTTTATCTGATTACAATTCTCTTCATTCATAAACGAAAAATACAAATGTCTAAATAAGAGAAAAGCATTAAAAGCATTCTATTTGAAATTTAATAGAAACTGCGTTTTTCAAACACATATCCTCCATTTTGGATAGTCAGGAACTTTCCGCTGAATCATAATATCTAAACATCATTTATATCTGCATATCTGCGGATACTTTGACGTGGTGTAATGTTGTAGTAAGCTTGTCCTGCTAAATCGATTACGACTGAATAGTGGCGCAACCTTCACGAGATTCTCTACAATTTCAACGTTTAGGAAATCCCTATATCTGTATATATGTAATTAGAGAAAATTCGAGAGTTGTACGCGACCAAAACATCTTGTTTAGAGTTTTAACATTTACTATCAATTTTTATTGGAAAGCAATAGAATTTTTATTACAGAAGATATTTTTGTTCCTAATAAGGAATGGGATGTCTACCTCTTTTCTGCTGCATGGACTTAGTAACAATTAATTTTAACAATTATCATTTGTAACCGTTCGGATTAAGACTACAATTTTTATTCAATTATTAATATCCAGAAAGAAAATTATTTCCATGATTGGAAGAAGCAAAACATTTTCTCCATGCAATATATGTTCTTCTTTTCATAATATTTCTTTATTGTTAGCTTTCTCGAAACAAATAAAATATAATATCCCTTACTTTTGCGCTATTAATTGCTCCTAACCGGTGTTACTGGCAGTTAAACTTGACGCACATTAATGATTAAAATATGAAATAAAATTACGTTGATAAGAAAAAATTGTCAAATAGATATTGCATTTCATTCGTTTGAACTTGGTTTAAGAAGTTCTTTTTTATTTTTCTGTTTTGTCATTCACTTTCGAACCATTTAAATGTACCTGAGCAGGCGTAGGCATACACTGATACAAGCGTCCAGTCATCTGGAACGGATTTAATTCTGATTTCTATTATTAAGCATGTGCGCCCACGTTCTTTCCTCTACGTTTAAGTCGATCAATTCTATGGTTTTATTCAACTGTGCAATCTGTGAAGAAATAGACAATTCCCTTTTCAGGCAAACAGAAAAGAAATGGAGGGGAATATATACTAATTGGATTAGTCCATTCTAAACAACGTGTATAACACAGGCGATTCCATTCTCAACAGCACGTTTTTACGCTCAAGGGTACTCTCTAATTTATTCCCTGTTGAACAACGTAACTTCGCACCCAATTAAAATCCACACCTATCTGACTCACATAGTGGAAAATACAATGAAAGTGTAACGTACAAATGCAGGAACAAAGAAAGAAAGAAATTATATTTCAGTGGATGGGAAAATCTTTAGGGTTATATTCCTTACACTAACGACACGAGATGGAAGTATCAACTCAGCATCCTTTATTGTGCCTAAGAATGAAAACACCCAGGGGCTAAACAAGGCAGCAAACACTTTACGCGTAAAAGACATTACAACCTTTGGTTCAGTCACCCATCTCAAACTCATTACTAGAGTTGTTCTGTCATGAAACAAGAGTTGAACAAAACTGCATATACAACATCCCATGCAAACGTGTCAAAGAATACATAGAGGATAGCAGAAATGTTCTCTCCTATATAGTCAAACTTCAGAGATATAAAAAACGTCGTAAGGGAGCGGGGTTATAATATTTAGTATAGTCGAGCATATTTGGAAAAAAAAGAAGGAAATATGTGACTCTCTTTAGGATGAGATCCAAATAATAGAAAACATCGCCGGAGAGTGAGAAAATTGAAGGAAGCTACAGATATAATGTTGTTGGATAGAGATGTGTGTAATTGAAACCCCATTAAGGGATTTATCACAATGTGCTCTTTAATTAGAAGATAAGTAATTGGAGATCATCTTCATGGAGAGCTGAGAGCGACTCGTTTCGCTTGGAAGGAGTTCAGGCGGTCGATATAATAGCTACCATTTTCTGTTCACTGTCTATATCTGTAATCAACTTTCTATTTTTTTTATGGATTGTACACTTGAAGAACGCTGTAGAACAGCCGAAATGTTGTGCTTTTCCGAACAACTGTTGGAATTATAGATTGCTTTTTTCTGTCACTGGATTTTGCACCAAATTAATCGATTATTGATTACTTACTCGGCACTCATATTCCAAAATGAACATAATGGTTGAACACCGGGAGGCAGAGGCTGAAAAATATGTACAAAAAAAAAATGATTAAAATTTAATATCACATAAACTCAATAACGCGCCTGATTTGCAGGTGATGTTTCCTGTGGATAATAGATATAAAATATAACAAAAATAGGATTAAACTGAAATAAAATTAACGATTTGCATTTGAAATGTTTCAATAGACACGGGTTTTAAATAAAAACGGATTATATCAATTAAATCGGTAATAGTTTAATCCTAATAGACCGACTTCAGGATTTCGTATTAGACAGCCTTCCTGAAGAGCATTTTAGCGCAAAACTTTGAAGTCGGTCAATTAGGATGTCAATTTAACATCATAGCTCTAGTTGCAAATTAGGCACTTTTTGGCAGAAATTCTATTGGCATACGAATACGTTAAATTCCCGTTATTTAACGTATTTTAAAGTTGTATTATTATTATTATTATTATTATCAAAAAGGATTATATCAAAATAATCTAAGAACACGAGTCATGTTCTCATATGGATGTCATATACTATCAACTCTATACAACTGTTTTATCAGATCAACGATTCAAAATGGCTTCAAGTGAATGAATCCTTTAGATCTTAAAGACAATACTTCATAAGATCTTATAGTCTAGCGCTACAGAATCCCCCCCCCCAAAAAAACTGTAATAAATACCAAAAAAACAAATCACTTCAATATTCCCAACAGCTGTAACAACTAAAATGGGTAGCCTATTTAACTAGAAGGGGGAATAATGATATTAAAATGTTGACATTCTACGTCACCTGAAACAATATATAAGGAAGGAAACCGTCATTGATGCAAGAAAACAGTGGAATTGTGAAACGTATTTTTATGTAAAAATATTTCAGTCAAAATTTTTATTAATTCCAACCGACAACATCGCTAATTATTCAGTCAATGAATGTCTGTATGGAAAACGGTTATTCATATCATTGCAATTATTAAAGGTATTTACAAAGAATGAATTGTAGATTTTAATCTAGAAACTTTATAAAAAAGAAACTAGTAGACTTTACCCTGACAGGGTACATCTATGACAAGGGTAACAAAAGAAAGCAGTGAGTAAACTACTCGACAAACTTGATCAAAAGAAAGGGGAGGGATAAATGCCACCAAGATAAAATGTAACCATAATGTACTGCTAAGAGCAACAACAACAACAACAACAACAACAACAAAAAGCAGTGTAGAACCATAACTTGATGGGAGATGATTCTCCACGGCTTTCTATCTTTCAAAAATGTCCACAAAACAGTTGGAAAAATTGTCCACGAAAATTTAAAAATTTTAGAATCTATGTCTAATAATATATACATATCCCAACGTGCCAAAAATCATGGGATAGCATTATGTATGGTTGGTGGCACCAGCGTTCTTTGGAATTTGCTAAGTCAGTGTGAACACTGGTTAGAATGCGCAACCTAAATTACCGGCTTTCAATCGGGGTGAGGGGGGGTAGGGGTGGTGAATGATATCGTTTCCCAGATATAGAATATTTAGTTTTTGAAATTGTGCTTTGTATTGGCTGAATATTAAGTAAAAAAAAAACTTTAATGCCATGAGTGCAAAAGAAGATAACATATTTATCTTCCTTGCACTGTAAACAGTAGATGACATTGTTTTTGTTTTGACAATGGTGAGCTGTTCAAAGGAATAATGCATTAAAACGGAAAATTCAAAATAAATAAACCAAAAATAAATAATCAGAGCAAATCAGTGTATACACGTGGAAAAGGGTAAATTGAAAATAAACCTATATCCTCCTGGCGTCAGTTAAAACTGACGTTTTATTTTTTCATATATCTAAACTATACATTGTAATTTTGGGAAGTGAAAATTTTACTTAAATACATTAGAAAATTGCCAAGTTTACATTTTATAAATGAAAAAAAAAGAAGAAAGAAATTTAAGCAAAATAGCCACATTAAGAAAAGGAAAAGTCGTCTCTTTAAAACTAACAGCAGAAAATATACATTATTTACATTATTCGGACTATTGTCCTCGTCTTTGTCGCCATATTTATTGCAACGTTTCGGACGTTGTACGCTCCGGCCTTCTTCAGGTGGGTGAAATTCGACATTCCAACCACCTGAAGAAGACCGGAGCGTACAACGGCCAAAACGTTGTAATAAATATGGCGACAGAGATGAGGACAATAGTCTGAATAATGTAAATAATGTACATAATACTTCATCTCAGAAATATAGACAGCTACAGCAGAAAATATATTGGGTCATAGACTCACTTGTAATGATCTAATAATAATAAAGACTTAACAAAATATCATTTTTGGGAGAAACTAGTTTTGTAAATATTCGCATTCAATTTTTGGTTACATAAAGGCGTGGCAAGAATGAAAGAAAACATGTATGCCAATCAAGAAAGCATTTTACAAAGACTTTCTATACAAAATTCAATTGAAAAAATAATCGCAAACCCAATTTGACATTTTTTCTGTTTACATTACGATAAATACAACAATACAATAGTAAATGATAAAGTTCAAGTAATTTTCAGCATAGATTTTTTAGAAAATGAAGATATTTAAAGACAAATAGAAAATCGTATGGAATTAGAATTATTCCACTTGGACATTTTTATCGAGAAAATGTAATAAAAATGTGATTTCGTTTTGTTAGAACGATAGCAAGTAAAAAAAAAGAGCAAATAATTCTGGTTATTATGAAGTGAAAGATGTTAATTCGGCAGATACGTGTTTTTTCTCTTCTACAACAGCTTTGAGTGATTTTAATATTACCGATTGGTACTGCTGTTATGAAAAAACACATCCGGTGGACTTTAACTAACTCTATATTTGTCTTTTTCTCGCCATTTCCCTCATCATCATCCATTGGACTCCCTATGGTTTGTCGGAACTCCATTGACAATCCCTTTCCACAGTCTTTCCCGGTCTCGTATTGTTGTCCCCGGATTCTCAATGTCCAACCCAATGTGGGTGTGCTGTAACTGTTCCCTCTTTGACAGTTTGCAGAGTACGATTTCTTCTGTAGATGATATAAGGTTGTTGTATCGTGTTTCAATGTCATCAAATTGATCAAAGAGCATTTCATAACGATTCTTAACATCTACAGCAAAAGAGTGTCTCAAAGTTCTGTTTGATGATACCCTGGCCCAGTCGATTTGTTTCATGGGGTCTGGTACTGGTGGTTTGAATGACCTTAGGCTAAGAATGACATGTATGGAAACAATTCTATAATGAGAACCGACAAAAAGAAAAGGACGAGTATGGTTGGGTTTTACGAACACTCTTCCTTTCATTTGTTTTTCACGAGGATGTAAACAATTTGGATGTTGGAATGTCCACGGACGGTTTGGATGCTTTTTTTTTAATTTGGAGTTGGAACTCTTGAGCGAAGTCTGTCAGTTTTTCCCCGTTTTGGTTAGTTTCATTATTATATGTGAATGGAGCATCCTCCTACCCTATTTGACCATTGAAATCGCCTGAGATAACGAGGAAGTTACTCTCTTCAAATCAGAGTAAAAGTCATCTACAGTTTTTCGTCACTTGTGTTGGGCAGTAACAAGCAATGAATGTGCTTTGAGGGTTATTGTTAAATTCACCAACAATTATGCGATCAGATATTTTTTTCAACTGATAGTAAATTTCCTGTGGCTTTAGAAGAGAGAATTATACCGACTCCACCGACTGTGGAACCCTGGGAGATTTTAATGGCTGAGTCGGTGATAAATTGATATTTATCAAGGTTATTATAATTCAGGTCAATGTCAGGGTGAGGGTACCTGTACTCCTGGATGCTCTAACCCTACTTTCTCTCTCTCTCTTTGTCACACACACACACACACACACACACACACACACACACACACACACACACACACACACACACATATATATATGTTACCTTCGTGTGTTTCATGGAGAAAATGACTGGCTTGGGCAGGACTTCACCATGATAGTCAGCAATTGTGGCACTAATAATTTGACTTTGAATAACAACTTCTTTCTCTCCTTTCGTCGTCCGCGTCGACGTTGTTGGCATCAGCTCGCCAATACTGTGGTACGTCACAAATACGACTTTAGCAAGTTTGCCTATAAGAAATAAATCAAATGAATAAATAAATCCAATTAACTTTTTCTATTAGACAAAATTTAAATCACAATTTAAAACATCCATGTTGAGAATTTGATTTAAAAAATGGCTTAATATTTCAATGAGGATTCATATTGGAATATTTACAAATTCGCCCTTGATTCGTTTGTTAATTATACATTTTGATTATCTACTAATATGTTCTTCGGAGTTACCTTTGTATTTAGAATTTATTGAGAATATGCATGAAGTGTGTTAAATATTTCACATGTGTTTAGTCTTTTCTTCATCTCATTGTTGCATTTGGTTAGTCCAATGTTTTGAAACCATTTTAAAAAATCTCATTTGAATTTGAAGTTAAACTTCTGCGGCACACTTAAATGATGAAAAAATAGTAAAAACTATGATTTTTATGATTATCAACACAAGCAAAAATATTTATAATAAAAAAAGAAAATTCAAATTCTTAAAAAAAATTATATTTATTAATTTTCCTGTTTATTATAATTTAACATTTAATGAAATTTAATGAGATCTCCGAGTTTGACGTTTTCTTAAACTATCTTTTACATCTGACATAGACCAGGCTCGATCCATTGAAATCCTTATGCAGGAGTTGCATGACAAGTTCAAATCGAAAATATCTTTGTCTTTTTGCTGTTGTTTGGAGTGGTCGACAAATAGAAACTGTTCTATGATTTCTCCTTTGCAAACAAATCTATTGAATGCTAAAAGTTAGGGTTTACCACTAATATCAGTAGATTCATCCAAGTGAATTGCAAACATGTTTACTTCTTTCAGGTGATATATTACCTGAAATTCTATATTTTCAGATAAATCATTAATACACCGAGAAATTGTCTGAGAGCGCAAGTTTTAACATTTCCTTTTCGTCTTCTTCGCCAAACATGCACAAAAGACCGGTAAAATAACGGATTCTGCAATTGTGAGATTTTCGTTGTTCCTAGCTACGATTTTCTGCATTTGCATAACTCGTATGTGTAAAATTTATACGTTTATTTATTATAACAATGTTTTACTTGTATAATCAATTAAAAAGGGATTTCATTTTGATATGTAAGCTTATTGTGTTCTGGACTACTTTCGAAAATAATTTAATTAATGACCGTTAAAAATTCTCGCTGCCCACCTACGAAAATCATTGGGTTAATCCCTTCTTCATGCCATTGTTGATTTTTATTACAACTTTTTATGCTGTGTATCTTCCAAAGTACCTTGCTGTGTATCTTCCAAAGTAGGTTCTAAATTGATTTGAATCATATCTGATATCATGGAAGTTTGTTTTTCATAGACAGCACGATAGCCAACCCAACTTCATGGTGAATTATGACGAGATTAAGCACAGATCTAAAATATAAGTTCCAAGAGCCACTTGAGGCAGAAATTACAGAGTAAGAGGCAGTGTCCATTTAGGCAGATATGTGGGATAAGGGATAACGGTTAACCCTAGACTTGAACAGTCATTAATAGTGATCGGGAAAATATCCTTTTGGGATTCGGTTTCACAGGGCAGTGGATTCTCGAGTGGAATTTCTCACCAATGGAATACGAAGGGAATGAGGGTGGCTCACTACAATGGGCGTAGCAGGGCGGGTTTTAGCCGTAAAAGTTAGAACTGGTTAGACTAAGGAATGCAGTTCGTCTGATAACTTTACATGGAAATAGCGATAGAACAGTATGAGGCTTGTGACGTGTCGCCTGTGAGAGAGTGAACTTCAGATGCAAAATAATGTGTCACCCACAAGGACGGAGACGTTTTTGGACACTATCCAGACTTGAAAGTGGCGACTGGGCAGTTCCTTTCCAAATAGGATAGCAATCAAAACGGTAAAAAGCTTTTTGAAGCCAACCATATAAATAAAACCTGAGAAATCTTCAAAAACAAAGCGATATTTTTCAACCAATAAAGCTAAGGAAACTAAATTCTAAAAATATATCGAATCTGGATTCTTTAAATGGCTAAAAATAATAAGAACTGGAATTTAACCTATTTAATTATCTACATGTCTATCAGGGCGTTTCCAGATAAAAGAGTGGCGCAACACAATCTTCTTCCGTTCTTTCTATCTATCTATCTATCTATCTATCTATCTATCTATCTATCTGAGAAAGCGTTCAAAATAGAAAGCATCTTGTACTCTACCTTTGCTGATGCGTCTAAGGTTTTCACTGGGAAGTGAAAAGGATCCACCTGAACTTGGTTTATAAGTTACTTCTGGTTCCGCAATTTTACTAACATTCAAAACACGAAGTTCAGCTTCTGCAAAAAAAGACAAATAGGTATTAAAATTTAATTCACGAACAAACTGCGGGATAAAAATGAAAACATTTAACATACACATGAGTTTCAAATAGAATGATTTGAATAAAAGGTGTGATTGGAAATTCCAAATCTTTAAAAATGAAATTAATTAATAAATTATTTTATTCTAGAATGCTCACGGCAAGTTAAAAGGTGAGAGGAAATAAGGATATTTTGGGTGGGTTTTTCTCTAAAAAGGAAAAATTGTCTCGTACTAACAAATTTGATACTCACAGATAATAATAATAATAATAATAATAATAATAATAACGACAGAAGCAAATGTGGACTAACAGAAAACACATCAGTGGCTGAGGAGCATCGGGCTGAAAGCTGAGACCGAAAGCCTAATTATTGCAGCTCAGGACAAAAGCCTCCCAACCAGGTCATGTCACATAATCGAGGATGGAACTAATCCAAAATGTAAGATCTGCGGAAAATATGAAACTATTGATCATATTATTTCAGGATGTCCGGAACTGGTAAAAAATGAATTTATCCCAGAGACATAACAAAGTAGTGACATGTGTGCACTGAAAGATATGCAAGAAGCACAAAATCAAAACCACTGAGAGATGGTATGAGCACCAACCAGACACAGTTACCCAAAATTATGATGTAACTATCCTCTGGGATATGCCAATTCACACTGACAGGGAAATAAAAGCCAATAGACCTGATCTTATCAGGAAGTGTATGCTTATTGGCATAGAAGTACCATCTGAGAGAAACACCTCCATAAAAATTATCAAGAAAGTGTTCAAATATAAGAACTAGGAAATCGAGATTAATGAAGACTGAGTCTGTCGTACCAATAGTCATCAGAACTCTGGGTCTCGTGAGAAAAGGAATGGACAATTACTTACAGTGTCCCAGGAAACAAGATGCCCAGAAGATCGCCCTACTTGGAACATCCCATATACTAAGAAAATGACAATTCCCCTGTAGGACATAAGAACCATAATTTGGACCCGGCTCTACAGGATACAAAGTAGGAAACATAACACACAAATAACACACAAACAATAATAATAATAATAATAATAATAATAATAATAATAAATAACTCATCGTGCCTTTTTTAGAGAAGGGTAGAGCAAAAAGCAGAAGACGAAGTAATGACCTATTGAAGTCTGAACTCGCAAGCCTTTGAAAGTTGAAGAAGGTCACAATCTTATTAGTTGTCATTAGTGCCCTTGGTATGGTGACTAGCAGAATGGAAACATGGATAAAGAAAATTGGCATTGATTTCCCAGTATAACTGTTGTAGAATGGAAGCCTCTGAGAAACGGCAAGAATAATTTGATAAGTGATAAACACTTAGAGACAGAGGAAAATTGCATGATGCCTAAGGATGCTCGTTGAGGTCCACTGTATTAATTACCAGATATTAAGCTCTTATCTGAGCAAATGCTGAAATAATAATAATAATAATAATAATGGTATACAGCATAGCCAAATGAAGGAGACGATAAGAAAGGAGCAATGCAAGCGTGTGCGTCTTGTACTGAATAACGAGCTGAATTAAAAAAAACAATATCTGCCATAAACACCTTGGCTGTCCCTTTGGGGCAATAAAGTTTTAATATCCTTAATGACGTTAAGCGAATGGACGCCAAAACAAGAAAGTTTCTCATCTGCCACCGCATGCATCATCCCAAAGCTGATGTTGATAGTCTGTATGTGCCCAGATCCGAAGGAGGCAGAGGATTAGTTCAATTAGAACTGTCTTACAAAACTACAACAATTGTCCTTGAAAGATATCTTGAAACTACAGAAGACTAGATGATGATCTGGAAAATATGATACAGTCACGGAAAGAAATTGGTATGAACATCACCCTGACCCGATTACGGAGATTAGGACCTGTAACAATTTTATGGAACTTTACAATAGACACAGACCGAACAATCAAAACAAATTCCCCTGACATCGTAATTAGAGACCGCAAGGACAATATGTGCCTTTTATTGACATGTCAGTCCCTGAAGATTTTCAAAAAACTATCAAAATACAAGGACCTTGAAATCGAAATCTCAAAAATGTGGCAGATGAGGACATTAACAATTCCAGTTGTAGTTGGAGCCCTAGGATTGATTAGAAAAGATTCCATTAGACTCATTGAAGGAAATCCTGGTAGCCCGTGCCTTAAAGAAATATAGAAAATTGTCCTTACAAGCACAGCCCACACCTTACGAAGGCCTTTATCTATGTAAAAGTTATGTTCTTTGTTTTTCAAAACTTCTCAGTGGAAAATGTCATGATATGATTAGGTCTCTGGTCGGGACCCGAAAAGAAATGAGTATACACTAGAAACAAAAGAAAATATTACTACTACTACTACTACTACTAATACTACTACTACAACTAGTAATAATACGTGGCACGTTTTGTATTCAGAAGGAGTTTCTTCAAAATATTAATGGTTTATCGATGCAGTTAATATTCTCTTTCACTCTCTCTCTCTCTCTCTCTCTCACACACACTCTCTCTCTCTCTTAAATATACAGGGACACTTAGCTGTTAACCAATCTAAGAGAAGGACAATTCTGAATTCAAAACCATGAGAATTGTCCAGGATCCCTGATATTTATATATACCTACATGTATGTATGTATGTATTTATAAATACTGATTCAATTGATATTTACTTTTTTTTAAAGTTTTGCTTTTTATAAACGGGGAATTTTTTGAAGTAGACAATATGACATGGATTTTTTTGTTTGTTTCTAAGAAAAACGAATTTCAACTTACCGACGTTTTCATCAGAGCGTTTGATAACATCTGGTTTATCGATGGCGTCCACAAGAGTCATTGTAGCTTTATCCACTGTGTGTAACAAATTACTAGCAGATCTGACTTTCTCTTCAGCAGACAGTTTGTTCCAAACCTTTGACTTGTTACTGGACATCATATTACTGCTGACTTTTACAACATCCTATTAAGTAAAGTAACATAAAATGTAGAGATTTAATTGTTGGTTAGATTACGGAATAGACTGATGAGAATACAGAAGTTTTATACTGAAAACAAAAATGTTGATGGCTTCCAAAGGAGTCAAAGATACTGTTATAAAGTATACTAATAAAGTATACTAATAAAGTATACTAATAAAGTATACTAATAAGGGCTGCTCTTCTTCTTCTGTGTGCCGTGCACCTTCAGGACGTGATCGATCGTAGCTGCCAACAACTTCTTATCCTTTGTCTTATTTGTCTTTGCACGATCTGTACCACTCTCTGTTTTCATGCATTTACATTACGTTGCTTACTTGCCGTTTGCCTTTGTTTCTCCAACCTTCGATATATTCTGTGTGTGTTAATTCCCGAAGCCGTCTTTCATCTATCTATCTATCTATCTATCTATCTATCTATCTATCCGGGTCTTTTAATCCAATGAATCTATCTATCTATATATCTATCCGGGTCTTTTAATCCAATGAATCTATCTATCTATCTATCTATCTATCTATCTATCTATCTATCTATCTATCTATCTATCTATCTATCTATCACAATCTGTTTATATCTATCTATCTGTCTATCCTTCTTTGTATCTACCCCAGTCTGTTCGTAACTATCTATCCTTCTTTCTATCACACTCTGTTAATATCTATCTATCTATCTATCTATCTATCTATCTATCTATCTATCTATCTATCTATCTATCTATCTATCTATCTATCACACTTAATATCTATCTATCACACTTTCTTAATATCTATCTATCTATCTATCTATCTATCTATCTATCTATCTATCTATCTATCTATCACAGTATATTCTTCTCTCTCTCTCTCTCTGTACATCTATCTGTCTATCATATTTTCATGTCATACTGCAGCTAGTTTAACATAGCGTATAATGTGAAATGTCGACTAAATTTGAGCGACAATTTCATTGTCCGATTTATCTCAGTAGGTTCTGTATACGTGTTTATTTACATGTTCACATTCATGTCTGTCCGATTGTCTGTTTAGGCACATGTGACAGTAAATATAGTGTCATCTGCCGAGCACTTTTCAAAATTATGAGCGCTCTTTGGTGCTCAAAGGTCACGCCCCCAGTTATATCAGGTGATCTATGGTGAGAGACTTTCTTGTATGAGGCTTTCTGAACTGTAAGTACATGTAATTGATGAAGCAGAATGGCGAATCAGGAAAATATGGGAGCTTACAAAAAGGGAATTGAGAACATTCTAGAACATGATCATATTTCGGCATTTATGGCCTGTTCAAAAAGTTCCTAACAGCTTTGAAAATATAAAAGAACCGGTTGTGCAGCGTTGAACTAGACAACTGGTTATCAAGGCTGCCAATGCGCACGCGTGAACAGATATTCCACCGTGAGGAAACTTACCCGGCATTGAGTCGCCACTGATTGAGTGTGTATAATGGAAGACTGTCGCATTTACAATGACGTCAAGTGTCGTGACTCTTTTGGGAAAAGGTTGCATCGATATATATAATATATATATATATATATATATATATATATATATATATTGTGTATATTTAGGCAGCAATTTTTCATTAATGCATGTTTCATTAAATAATATAGACAAGTTTTGTCTATTTATTTTAAGTAAGTTCCTTTCATATTGTCTGATAAGCTTAATAACATTATCATTGAAAGAAGAAAGGAAATCACCATATTGATACATGTTTAAATCCAATCTAAGCTGTCGACTTACATAAGCCATTATCAAAGATGACAATTACTTTTCAATAGTCTGTTTTTGTTGCATGAAAAATTTCCAAGCAACGACTAACTCGTGTATACGAGATGTCACACATTATATATATGGGGGAAATATTTTAAAGGTGTGCTATATTTATGGGATAAAGTGCTCAATATCAGAGATAGAGCGTATGGAAATATAAAAGTGAACATAGAAATCAACACTCAGATTGATGCGTCTAGTATGAAACACCCTGTCACCTCGGAGTGTTGAATTAATGTTGTTTATATATATATATATATATATATATATATATATATATATGTGTGTGTGTGTGTGTGTGTGTGTGTGTGTACACAAACACATATATATAAATATAGACAGACAGATAGATAGATATATAGATAGGGACAGCGTAGACATAAACTTAAACAGATCTTCAAACTAAGTCGTCTAATGATCACATTTTGGGGTGAAAATATATCTTTTAGAATTTTGTCCATGTATTTAGAGAACTCTCATGAGTATAACTCTTCTGTATGTAACCACATCAGGCAGTAAGGCTTCTGATTTGGACGTTTTGAGGGGCGTGAATACATCTTTTGATTGCTGTTCTTCTCGGGTAGCATCTTTTACGGGGCCCAATCCTGGCAAAATATTGAACTCTCAAACTGGGGTCAAAACATTATGAAAGTATAAAAATACATTTTTTATAGTAAGATTACCAACAATACATGTACATAGTAAAAAAAAAAAAAAAAAGTATACCAACAAAATATATTATTGGAAACTAAGAGAAAAATTATCAACAATACATTTTGAAAAAAAAAATTACCAAAGCTCCCAAGAAAATTAAATTTCGGCATTAAATGACCCATAAGGATGTTGATATGACATTAAACAAGCGAAACGAAATCAAATCTTCTGTATGTCGCCGAATGTGTGACAAGATGATCTGGGATGAATAAATTCCAGACAACACTTCCCCATTATCTGAAGAAGAGAAATATCAGCGTCGATGATGTGTCAGGATTGAATATTTTCAGCACTGTCGAATCGCATATAAATGCAAGCTTTGAGAGGGTGACCCGAAAAGCAAGTGTAGCCTGTGTTGAACAGAGTTCCGTCTCATAAAGAACATGATCCACCTCCACGTCCTGCAGCGACACGGCACACACAAAAAGACATTATGAAAATAAATACTCTGATGACTGTGCCTTCATTTTTCAGATATCACCTTCTCATTAAACTCACAGGACTCGTGACCCAAGGATAAATCTCTGGCATTGTAAGGTGGCAAAGATATACAGTATTTGGCCGGGGGTTATTATAAAGCAAAAATCTCCCTTCTAGACAGCTTCACCTCATTGCAATGAGATTTAGAGTCAACAGCATACTAACGTTTGTTTAACAAGTCGAATGTAAGTGAAACATGATTAACCAATGAAAATCAAACAACGCAAATGTAAAAATAGAATTTCTTTCTCCTTTGATTCTTCTTCTCCATATCTCATTCTAAGATGAAGCTTTAATAAAATTGTTAGATTGAAAAACATTTTCTATTCGTTCTTTATCTTAACATTTTGTCGATTTCCAATCGATACTTGATCCCAACTCATCAGCATTATACCATGAAGATAATCATTGCCAACATCATCCGTAACATGACCGGGTGTGATCGTAGGGTCATTGCGCAGCTGAGCACCTGACCAGCTTTCTCTATATGTCTCCGTTGTGTGCCAATGTTTGAATCTCTGTGTAGGATATTCCTGTCCATATTCCTTATGGGAAATCTTGCAGGGTGGCAGTTGAGAGACTGCACCTTGATATCAACGATAAAACCTCAGGAAACAAGTACTACTTTCAAAAACCTTCGTAAAAAAAAAGGAACTAAAATTTATATACCGTATTATATGAGGAACCCAAGCAATGACTTCGTATCGTATTTTGCGATTATAGGGTGGTTAACAAATACTTCTTTCACGTAGGCGACCAGAAAACAAAGATCTTTTCTCCAGACATTACCCCCGCATCGCAATAACAGTTCGAGGGTGACGGGTATATCAGAGAGAGGAAACCAGGTATTTTTTTTGCACCAACCCACATAAAATCTTGTGCCGTATTTGCATCTGTATCTAAACAAAATAAATACAGGCAAGGAGATTGCTTTTACTTAATGGAATCTGTGACACCCACAGAGCCTGGAACTGTATATAGAAAAACAAACACTAACCGGATGAATGTTTTAATTGCAGAAAGCCGATGTGAAATGTTTGGATTTTAAAAAAAGAAAACCATGAATGGCGATGCTAACCAAAATAAACATATAAGTAAATAAAATATAAAGAAAAAAATAAAAAAATAAAAAAAATAAGTCAACGATAAGGAAAACCTTAATTTTAGGATTCCAAACATTGACGACCAAAGACTCCATTCAGATTCCATTCTTGTTTCTGTAAAATTCTTCTTCTTCTTCTTCTTCTTCTTCTTCTTCTTCTTTGTGCTGTGTTCCTTCAGGATGTTGCTGATCATGGCTCTCCTCAATTTCCTATTCTTTGTAGCTCTAAATAAATTTGTCCTTTGTTATCCCTGCTAAAACTCGCTCCGCCTCTAATTGCACAAGCACGATAAGGTAGGTTATACATCATTTTTCTCTGTCTTTCTTGCCTTCAGTATGTCATGTGAGTATCAGATTCCCCAAACCCTCTTTCCTTGTTATGTGCCCGAGTAATTTAATTTGTTTCTTTTTATTTATTTTCTTTATTTCCTTCTCCTAATTTTTACCCCTATCTCCCCAAAATTTTGAAACTTCTAAAAATATCGTATAGGTACGGGGAGGAATTCAACCCATCAACCCCCGGTGTCAAGAAAGAAAAATCGTCTTTCTTAAGCAAGAAATGAAAGTTGGCAGGCCAAACTTTTCAGCCTGGTGAAAATAATTGTTTTCTGGGATTTTAATCCCAGCATAAATTTGAAACGGTTGGGCTAAAGACTGCCATATCTAATTCTAATTTTTAGAGCTATTTTATTTGATTTCTTGATTTTAATTTTTGCGTTTTTACTTTTGCTAACTTTGCTTAAAAAATTCTCGATACCAATGCTTAAAAAGAATGAAATATAGTAAGAAAAAACAAAAAAAACAAAACAGAAAAAATAACGTAAACCTACATTGACGAGTGTATCGACGTCTCCTGGTTGATCAATCGCCACTTCTTCAAGAGAACGCGTAAGAATGTCAAAATATTGCGAAGCCATTGTAAAGTCTTCCATGGTCATGTCTTTATTTTCGGTAACTTCGGCGAGGGCGTTGGAGATTTGGACCGAATCTTTGCTGGAACCACCTCGTAACTGCCGTTCAGCCTAGAACCAAACGTCAAGAAGCAAAAGCGAAAAATGGAAAAGTTATAAAATGCTAAATAAAAAGAATAGTTTTCAGAAAACAAGCTCATCATTTAAATGCTAGGAGAATATATTTATATACACGTTGGTACAAAATACAAATCCCATTAAAAATAGACATAACCATGTGGAATATACAACTTATAATTTCATTTTAAGCGCATCGATTCAAGTAAATGTTCCGACGGGAAATTTTACATAATTTTTATAAATACAGGAGAAAATAATCGTGCAGCAGAGAAAATTATTTCAAAAAAAAAAAAAAAAAAAAAAATAATAATAAGCGCACCGTAGCAAAAAAAGCCAAAGAAGGAAATAATCGAAGATGAAGAACTCGAGGCCGGTTTATCTGTATATATAACTTTGACGGTGATATAAATAATTGTTACTAGATCGTAGCTGTTATTCTTGTTACATGTCATTAGTCATAATATTTTTACATATCAGGACCTAGGTTGCTGAAAGGTTGTCGACCAAGACAAATTGCCAAATTTGACCATAAGACTAAACATGAGATGTTTTAGGGTGGAAGAGATCATTTCCCCCCATATATATATATATATATATATATATATATATATATATATATATATATATATATATATATATATAACAGTATTTCTCGCTTGAAAAACCTCGGATGACTCAACTTGTAGTCACCTGAGATTGGTACCCTAGGACAAAATAGGAAGTAAAAAAAGAAAGAACTAAAACATCATATACATATATATATATATATATATATATATATATATATATATATATATATATATATATATATATATATATATATATATATATATATATATATATATATATATATATATATATATATATATATATATATATATATATATATATATATATATATATATGTGTGTGTGTGTGTGAGTGTAACAAAGACATGCAGTTGAGGAGTAACGTATTTGTCTTGCAAATTATGAATATATCGTACAAAGTCAATATCTATCTATCTATCAATCAATCAGTCAATCAATCATGACGTGGATAGCGTCTCGGATTGAGAAATCGGAGAGCCGAGTTCGAATTCCAGTCGAATCCATTATATTCACTTACGTGCTAATACCCTTGGGAAAGCTATGAATCCTCTTCTTCTCCCCCTCCAGCTATGGGTAAATGCTGGACAGGCAAGAATTTAAGGCAACTGGTCTACTACAGAAAGAAATGTCATCCTACTGCGGGAAAAAATCTGCCTCGTCAGTCAAAGATATCGAAAGATATATGATCGCCTAAGCGTGTATCACGCATGGCACATAACTGAACTGATATCATACAACATAATATATGTTGATAACATAGAAGCATGTATTTCGAAGGTACTTTTCCAGAAATACTGCAGTGGCAGAACATCGACTACTGATGCCAGTGGTCGAAGCTAGAAAACATCAAGGATTTTGAATGCTAGTCTCAAAGCCGACAAGCTCTTCAACTGGGAAGTTGGCGAAACAATTATTTTAATGATAATAATAATTTTGCCTTCGTTGGCATTTTGATGCACTAAGCCATAGTTATAAATCCCACAGTAGGACTATTGTTATTTTACAGATCTATGGAACTGTGTTTCAGGAATGAGTTTCCGAACAATCGCTTGCGAGAGGAACACGCTAACCACTACTCTTCCCCTGGATTTGATGATGATAGTAATAATGATGAAAACTCACTTTGGCAATGAAGTTCTTCATTTTATGCGAGACACAGTGTTTAATATTGTGGGTCTCTTTCCAGCATGCCGGTTCTTTCATACACTTCCGGTAGGCGAAATCTGCAAAAAGAAGCGAGGAAAAGAGAGTTAACAAACGAAATTATTTTGTAAACAATATAACAGTTGGGGACAATGAAAAATTATGTAGGACCAAAATATATAGAAGATTTATGAGATTAACTTGGGACGATGGTTATAATTCAACAGATTCCTCAGGGACAAATCCTATCTGTTCCTCACAATTCACGATGGCCAAGCTTAGATCGTACTAAAACTATTAGCAGCACAATGAAGAATATGAGCTAAGAGAGAGAGAGAGAGAGAGAGAGAGAGAGAGAGAGAGAGAGAGAGAGAGAGAGAGAGCCAAAAACAAGATAACCTGATAGGAGTGGGCAGACGTTAGCGTTTTCATGACGAAAAACACCAACTTTCTGGTCACTATGTCTGATAAGAATTCTTACTCTATTCTGTCACACGAGCTTGTCCATCATATAAGTTTGAGGACCCCTACTATCAATAGTTTTTCCACTTTTCCGTGCACACGCATACGCACACAGAGAGAACAGTGTAAAAATTCTTAGAGCTAGTCACCAGAAAGTTCAAGGTGGGCCAAAATTAGGCTTACGGTTTCACTATTTGTTTCACTATTTGTTTTTGATCTAATTTTTCCAAATTATAACTATTTTTTCAGCAAGGTGTAGTACCTCCCCATTATGTTTAGCCAGTAAGGGACTACCTTAACCAAACCTTTCCACAACGTTGGTTCGGAAGAAGGGGCAGCCTCAAATGGCCATCATGTTCACCTGACCTAACTCCAATTGATTCCTTTTGAGGAGGGGGCATGTAGTAAAGAACAAGGTTTGTCAGAGTATTCCTTTTCCCCCACACACAACGGACGAATTAAAAGTGTACATCTCAGAAGTGTTTATTGAAATTGATGCAGATCGGGATTCATGCTGTGCTGTGTGTCATAGTCTTCTGGAGAGGTTCGAGGCCATTTTGAGCACTTAACAGATTAAACTGGGCTAAAAATTTAAACAATTTTACATAAACAGTTTTGAACAAATAGAATTGTAACAAATAAATATAAATTTAATAAAGTGTTTTGAAAAATTTAAAATGCTTAGCTACTAAGTATATGCCTACTTTTGGCCCACCCATTATATATATATATATATATATATATATATATATTCAGTGGGAGCTGAAAATTTCTGGGTCGGAGTGACTTCTTAAAATCAACATTTCAATGATGGAAAATCCGAATTTAGTGGGAAGAAAAATTAAAGTGTATATACAGTGGAATTGTCCAAATCGCGTAACAGCAAAATTGTCTATCGTACAAAATGTTTAATATTTAAAAAAAAACACTGAAAAAATTTAGTTTCTTTTTTTTCAGGTTTTCAGATAAGACTTTTAGCCATCTTGACACCATTTGTCGAAAGAATCACTGAAAAACTCTTTCAGTTATTCAGTTAGAAAGAGAATAGTATAGAATCGTTTTGTGTCAGCCCCACTGTCTTCCCCACTGAACAATGGTGAGAGAAAAAAGATAATCCAGGTCTTCAGTAATGGTACCAACATTCATACCCTGGCTTCCATCTTCAAATCCATTCAAGAGCTACCCAGAGAACGGTGAATAAGTTTTAAAAACGGGGATAGTAGAGAGGAAAATTGGAACAGGAGTTCACAACAAGAAGAGGGATAATCATTTCAATTTAGAACTAAAGAGATCAATTAGAAAAGATCCAACTCAATCCATAAGATGTTTGGCACATGAGAGAGGAGTTTCAGCAATGACAGTCCAAAGAGCAGTGAAAAAAAACTTGAAGATGAAATCGTACGTGAAACGCATGAGGCACCTTGTTACCCCAGGACAGAAAGTTATAAGTTTAGAGAGTGCGAAGATAATCTTGATTAAGTTGAAAAATGATCCTGAAATTTTGAAAATATATATATATATATATATATATGTATGTTAATTTTCCAGTGAATTGTGGCAGACCACAACTAACAGTTTAATGCCATTTCACGCAATCATCAGGCGCTAAAATGACTGAAGAGTGGACAGAACAATTACTAAAATGTCTACGAAACTCTAGACTCGAGGTGCGAATGAAGCTGAATATAACATCAATCAGCTAAGTGACAATTTAAATTTATCCGTATTAATCCACACACACACACACACACACACACACACACACACACACACACACATATATATATATATATATATATATATTCGTCTACTAGCCTGTAAATTCTTGAAATCTTATTAAAGAGAATATGGTCTCTCCAGCGCATCTATCTATCTATCTTATTGTAACTGGATAATTATTATAAGTATCCTTCTCCTCCTATCTATAGGTTAAATAAGGAGGGTAGGCTGGATTCCCTAGCCTTTACCTGCCACTAGTCTAATAGAAGAAACATTCTGAATTATAAAGCAATGGGGGTGGGGGCTCTCTACGATTAAAAAAAAAGCAACAATAATAAAAAGAATACATGGCTATTCGCTGATAATTAAAAAAGGGAAACAGTGGAGAGCCATGTTAACCTTCGATCTTCAGCCATCTATCATTAAATATTAATATCATCCATCTTTGAAGATGCATTTAAATGCTTAAAAATATTCTGTCCTATGATCGATTTTTAATGTACAAGGCATTTTAAAATTGATCCATAAAAAGTTTGATACAAGATCATATTCATGGCGCATGTATTGAAACCCTTCGTCAATTCCCGATTCTTGTAAGAACAAGAAGCTGACAAATGACATTTAAAAGTAGCTCTTTGTAAAAATATGTTTCAGCACGCCCACGCATATGTATGGCGGCTGTCGCAGGCTCGCCCTCGACATGCGGATATCAAGAAGTGGTTTAAGGCGACCTTTAGTCGCTCTGTGCGAATCGGATACTCATTGAGGTTTATTGAACGAATTATCTTGTAATTTGAAATGATAAAACTCTGTTGAATTCAAAATAATAGCGAAAAAGAAAATGGTTGGCAAAGTCAAATTCCTCTTGTCTCTGCAAATTGATTCGACCTAAAACGGCTAAAAGAATTTAGGTTTAGATTAATCGCAATTTGGGCTGTGGACTAAGAGTAAAATAACAAGAAAGAATTTTAGTTACTAATTTTTCACCTAAAACAAGGCCCAAGAGCCACTCAAGTCAAAGCATTACGGAATTAAATTAAGAAATGCAGTTTATGAAAATATGTAGAAAAGATAACGGTTAATCCTAGACATGAAAAGGTTAAAATTGTAGTGAACAGGATATCTGTCCCACAACGTAGTGGTTCTTGGGAAAAAGCTGTCCAAGTGGAACTTCCTTCTTACTAATGGAAGACAAAGGGAATGGGGATGGTTCATTCTTATGTGAGTGACATGGCAGGTTTCAGTTGTAAAGTTTAGGGCTGGTGGAATTAAGGCATGTTGCTTGCCGGAACACAGGCTATCGAAATAGCGATAAAGCAGCAAGAGGCTTACGACATTTCGTCTGTGGGAAAATTGGTTAGAGAGTGGAAGATAACTAATTAGCCACAATGGCGTGTAGACACTTTTGAACCCCATCAAGACGAGAAAGTACGAACGGAGCAGCTTTAGTCTAAATATAGCACCATTACACTATTTTTTGGTATGATCTGTTTCTTGTAAAGACAGGGCATATTAGGTGGAGCCCTGTACATTTTGAAGTGGGGGGGATTAGTATAAGGAATCGACCGTTTTTTCAGCATTGTGCCCAATTTCCTTCAGATTTAGCCTTTCCATAGATTTATTTGCTTTATTATCTGTGAATTGCAATGACCAACACTGAGCCAAGTGAATATGAATAGTCTCAAGGAAATGTCAAATAATTAAGTGTTCTCAAATAATAAACGGTTCTGCAAACTTGGACTTGAATCTTACTGCTCTCTCTTCTCCCCCTCTCTCTCTCTCTATATATATATATATATATATATATATATATATATATATATATATATATATATATATATATATAGAGAGAGAGAGAGAGAGCGAAATAGATAGAGAGGCAGAGATAGTGTGGTCAAATCAACACTGCATTTACAAAAGCTCGTTACGTAGGTTACACGCTGTTTTCTTCTGTCCCTATTTATCTTCAGTATTTCCTGTGAGTATCAAATTCTACCAACCATCTTTCCTCATTAGGTGTCCGAGAAATTGCAACTATCTCTTTCTGATTCGATGTACAAGTGTTATTTTGTTAGCATTTTCCCTAAAACTTAGTTGTTGTTCACGTACTGCCAGCATTCAATGCCATATAAGTGGATCTATAATACATAACAGTTCAGTACTCTTGTCTTTGTGTTTAATGAAATGATACTGTTTCTTAACACTTGGCTTCACTTATAAATATAGCAAATTTTAATATATATATATATATATATATATATATATATATATTCATGCATGCACACAGACAAACACATATATTGTTTAAAATTTGCTATATTTGTTTGAAGATTGCATTGGAACTGATAGTCACAATGCAGTATTAATTCATATGTCCTTAGTCTGTCTGTCTATCTTTCTATCTATCTATCTACATTTTTAAACAACAAATGGATGTTTTAATACGATAAATATCTTATTACTATAAACATTCCATCTTATAGTAAAACTGTTTGCATGGATATTCCTGCTTTTAAACATTGTGATCAATGTCGACCGGTCAAGAAGATGAAAATTCTTTCTAAGCGAAATGTGTTACCCGACAAGAATCGAACCTGTATTCCCTTTTTTATCTTGGAAACCACCACCAAACACTTATACTTACTAAACATAACGTTTAGTTTGACAAAATATTTCTTTTTATTTTAACCCCCATTTATGGATACACGTGTTTAAGTAGAAACAGTTTTTTTAAAATTCATTTTAAACAGTTTTGAATTGAATTGCACCTACTGACCTGTGCAATCCAGAGACTTCTTAAAGAAAGATGTTGTTTCTCCAAAGCAGGCTGGATTAGACAGTGGTACGCAGGTTCTTACCCAGCTGGAGAACACAATTTTCTTGATTAACTCTCTACAATGCGCAGGCTGATAGACAAAATTTACACTTGTTGTTTCATTCATCATCATTTTATTCAGTTTAGCGCGTTTTGAGCCGCTGTGGTCACCACACGCCGTCACTTCACAATTGTGGCTCAAGTGACATTCAAGGCAAATTAGGGCAATGGTTTTCCGGCTCCTTTTGCCTCGGGGGTACTGAGGTTACCCCGTCCCTTTTTTCAGAGGTGGATTTGTCTTTTAAGTTACCTTTTATCTTTTCTTAAAGAGGCAGAACCTACAAAGCAGCAGGTGTTTTGAATTCAATGTTTCCTTCCTCCAGACTGGTTGCCATTCAAAACTATAAGACCTAGTCTGTTTTTTTATTTTACCCATATCTAGGGGAGAAGAGAGGAATCCTTACCTTTCTCAAGTTTATTAGCACATAAATAAATGTAATGTACTCGCCTCCCCGATTCCTTAGTCGGAGCCGTTAGCCATTACTCCACCGTGCTTACACAGTTTAAATAAATAAAAGCAGTCTTCTCAACACGTGTATCGACAAAAATAACATTTAGAGTAATAATAAATAATGTCGGATTAAAAATAAAATTAATCAATACCTATATATATATATATATATATATATATATATATATATATATATATATATATATTATCGGAGATTAAAACAAAAACATGTAAAAATCGCTACACAATAGCAATCGTGTTTCAACACTACAAATGTGTCTCCTCGAGCGATGGTAAGTTAGTGGTTAATATTATAAACAGTTGAATTATAGCGCTTTTTTTGTTTTGTTTTAATCTCTGATGATAAATAATAGTTAGTTCTACTCTGTATTCAGCCCTCGTTTAAATTAAATGTTACGGACAGTGTAATTATATTCTATTTATTATATTATATATATATATATATATATATATATATATATATATATATATATATATATATATATATATATATTGTGTGTGTGTGTGTGTGTTTGGGCACCTCGGCGTGGTGTAATGGTTAGCAAGCTTGTCTCGCTAAATCAGTTACGACTGATACTTTCGGCCTGATAACTATGTGTGTGTGTGTGTGTGTGTGTGTAAAAATTATGATCCTTAATGGACCAAGATCCCTTATGCTTTATCTTGCATATAAATGTTCATGTTTTTTTTAACGATATATACCGTATAGATGTTTTTTTTCCCCTTAAAGTTGTGGCTACAGAAAAGATACAATACTGATAGGATACAACAAAAGACAACAGAGATAAAAGTACTTACTTAAGCCTGAGGGACAAGGAACCATAGCTGTGGCGCCTGCTTTGATACGCGGCCATTTTATTTCCATGAGGACCTCTTCAGGGCAGAATCCTTTCTCTTGTACATAAACCTTTCTGCCATGGGAGTAGATGCAAACGTCTTTTGGGAGGTGGGAATGAAGGGTAAAAGTGGATTCTTTATCAGCAGTTGTTGGGCTGGTGGGGTACATACCGTCAGTATTCAGATGTGAGGTCATGATACGACTAGAGTCTTTGTCCATTCCTGACCAGTCTTTATGACTAGTGTGTGAGGAATCGGGAGCTGTAGTATCTGGGTGTCGTGTACGGGCTGTGTTCGCTGCAGAAGAAATAAAATATTTTTATTTATGATTAAGGTATCATAACATCAACATTAATATAAACAATAATGAATGGATTTGAGGATTTTATATTAAATGCACAGTATTAAAAAATATGTTGCCTCGCCATATTGGTCGGGTCATGACTATGCCGACTGCGTCCCATTACAGAGCAGTAATCCCTACCCTAAAAGGACCAGCTGTTTGCAATACCTATGTCTACGCTTTTTCACTCCCGAGCAAACTGGACCTGTTTGGCTTTAAGGAAAACCGAACCAATATCTACGTTTTTTTGACTCCTGTGCATACCGGGTCTCTGTTTATCTTTTTGAATCTTATGCAAATACGGGCCGATGTACTATTACAAATTAGGGAAAAAGACAACATCAGTAGTACGTAATTGTTAATGACGTAAGCACCATTTCAAACTTAACATAAAGAACAGATAACTTTTAAGACAGAGATCGATATGACACTCTATCCCCATTTTAAAATGATAAAACATCAACATTTTTGATTTTGACAAATGTCGTGAGTGGGTGAATGTATTATAATTCTCTATAAAGATTATTCCTCATCAAATATTTCCGTTTTTTTTCTTTTAAGAGTAGACTAATTAAGTTTTACCTTATAACGAATTGTACAAATAAATCAGATACTTTTAAGGATGACGAATGAAAAATTTAAAAGAGTGATACAAAGAAAAATGCATGATGACTTACGTGGAAACTTCTCACAGATGTAAGGTCTAGGTGTTTCACACACTTTATCATTAAGTTTGCCTTTGTAGCTAAACTCAACACAATCTTCAGTGCCTCGACCATTATTTGGTTCTCCTGGAGCCCAGGGCCTGTGGAAGCACAAATGGCGTTAATAATAATGAAAATTATCTTTTGAATTAAAAATATTGAAATGTTTAACTTTATCCAAAGTATTCGATATAACGAAAAAAAAAAAAAAGAATAAAAAACGATTTTGGAGCAAAAACTCAGTTAATCGAAAACGCGCAATCATTTAGAAATATTGCTTACTTGTAAAATATTTCTTCTAGAGCTCTTTACACGATTAATTTAGGGAATGAATTTTACGAAAAAAATAATGCCTTTTTGTTGTTTTTTTCTGGAACCCCATAATAGACACACACATACTCATAGACATACACACGAACAAACATGCGCACTTGCAAGCATACTGACACTCACGCACATACACATATATAAATACACACGTATTCAAGCACTGACTCATAAGCATATGCACACAGATACACTCACACACACACGTTCATATACACACATATCTTATACTATGAGTACGATGAATGTGGTGTGAGATGAATGAAAGAGATGGTGGCATTTAAGTGAAGATTATGAGAATAAGGAGGATAGATAACGGTTGACCCTTGACCTGAAGAAGTTAAAACTATAGTGTTCAGTGAGACATACACGAATAAATCTGTTCCACATCGTAGCAATTCTCTGGGGAGAAATTGATTGGATGTTTTTCTCCATTTTCTAGATAAATTAGTAATTGTCGAGACGAGCTGAAATTCCAGCTGAGGTTGTATATATTTTTTATTCATTTTGGTGTCAATTGCTAGTCGATTTTCGGCCATTTTCTTTTGAAGACTAACGACATTTCTTTTCAACAGCGTTCCCTTCATTTTTCTGGTTTCTCAAGAGAATTTGTGGATAAATTAACTGATGTTTTTTTTTTTTTATCAATTTCAGCATTCATACGTCAATATCAAATGGATTTTGTATCTATTGAAAGGCTTATGTCGACAGTTCTAATTTTTATTTCTTTGGCCATTTGAGAAGATCACGTTTTCTTCACACGTTGGTTTGTGCTCAGGTGTCATGAGTTTTTTTTAAAAAAATATAAATATAATTAGTATGTCTATTCCTAAACTGAATTTAATTATATGGATGTCGTGTGGTCTACATTTTATGGTCACGAATTTTATTATTTGTAATCGTTTTTTACAGTTTGTGATATAATATATTTGTTAATGAGTATTTTTTGTAGTTTGTTGTATTGGGTGGTTATATGCGATTTAATTGAGCTTTTAAAGGATAACCGATGCGGTAATGTAGTAATTCTGTAACCAATATATATGTTGTTTGAAATGTTATATAAGTGTGTTTGCGTGTATGAGATGATGGTTCTCCTGTCGATTACGATGTATGAAGACCTAACAATTCAGTTCTTAGAATCCCAAAACCACCAGACTACCTACACATCTGATTCGATTATAATGGTTAATGTTTGGGGAAAACCTTTGGTTAGAGCTGATAACAGAAAACCGATATAAATTGTCCTATGAAACATTCAAACAAGCGACTGGGTTTTAAATTCACATTTGTCCTTCTCCTAGACTAGTTGGTAACCAAATCTAAAATGTGCATTTCATAGATACAGCAAAGGGAAGAGATAGATTAATACCATGCCTAAGTGAATGTAACGACTTTGGCTGGAATTTGAACTTGGCTTATCGATTTCTCGTTTCTCATTCAGTGCTGTTAACAGTTAAACCACCTGAATATCGATATTTTACTTTCTAAGTATTCTAATAAGTCCCACCAGCCATCTCTCTAAAAGTAGAAAGACTGGTTGTTAGGCTTAAGAGTAATTAACCTGTAAGTATTTTATTTTTCTACATAATATTTGATGTTTGCTGTTCATTTTTAGTCTTTGTGCAGATTTTTCGTTCGCCTTTTAGATATAAAGAGAGAAGACCGATAAACCGATGTTGCTCTGATGGGAGAGGACCGATAAACTGATGTTGCTCTGATGGGAGAGGACCGATAAACCGATGTTGCTCTGATGGGAGAGGACCGATAAACCGATGTTGCTCTGATGGGAGAGGACCGATAAAACTGTTTAGATGACTTTTTTGTTAATCGTTTTGTATTTTGATATTGTCACTAAATGTGTACCCTTGCAAAAATATGACAATACGTGCAGACAATGTACATTGTGGATTTAATTCGTAAGTTAAATATTATTCTTAAACTTCCAGGTAAGATTCGTTCTAACAGGCTTTTTAATGACACACATACACACACAAACTCACATTCACATACACATATATATTAAATATATATATATATATATATATATATATATATATATATATACAAATGTATTTTATATATGACTTCTTGGTAATACCAGGTGCTGTAAGGTTGGGTGTGCCGGTGGTGTGCAATGGATAATGCCTCGGAACTTTTATTCGGAGCACCGATTCCCAACTTGAGATCGTTATATTCACTAACGCGCAAATACCCTTAGGAAAGGTACGAACCCACCTCTTTTCCCACCAGAAAAGGGTTAAGACGTAGGACTTATATCATGAAATTATTATTATCTTCCAAAATCATTTATTACTTACGTCTTTGTCTCGTTAAATTCAGTGCCATCCGTCCATTTCCAGTAGTCATCAAGGTACCTGAGTCCAATCCACCAAGAAGCTTGTGAAATATCGGTAATAATTTTCATCAAATGCTTTTTCAAAAATTCCTATAAAGATACAAATTTTCGATAATATATAATTTTTGATAATATATAGTTTCATTCTTTTTGTTTAATAAATTATTCACCTTTTAAATTTTATAATTTGTAGATTTTCCTCCATGTATATACAGCAATTTCTGTGTTTGAAAACGTGAAAAGAAAATTAAGTTTCTGGAGCGTTATAATAAAAACACCCGTTTTGAATAATCGCTCAGCCTGAAACAGCGTTGTTAATGAATATATATATATATATATATATATATATATATATATATATATATATATATATATATATGTATGTATGTATGTATATCCATTAACAACGCTGTTTCAGGCTTTTATATATATATATATATATATATATATATATATATATGAATAACTGCTAAGATAAAGAACAAATAGGAAACTTTCATAAATTTATCATGTTTCGCTTTTATTAAAGGTTCACCAGAGAATGAAACATGGAAAAAATTTCTGTTTTTTTATTTTTCCGTTGTTTTTATGTTTCATTGGTTAAGAAAACCATACGCGCATTTGACATGTCAAGCAGTTGCCGTGTGTATAAATTAATGTGTGTAAGAGTATCATAAATCTTGTTTGTCTAGGAGACATTATTTATGTTTTTAGGTTGTCCGCATGTTGATTTCGGGAAGTTTTTACGTCAATGGTCGTAGTTAGATATACGTTAGATTTCTTAAGACTTAAGGATTTAATAATGATTGGTGATGTAATATAGTGTTTTTGACGTGTGTTTATAGTTGGTAAAAATTTTATTAGGATTCCCCTGAAGTATTTTCAACGTAAAGAATTTTGTTGTTTTTAATTAGAGTGGCATTTATAAAATCAAAATTGTGGCCAGTGATGTTCCTGTAAATTACAAGTGAGTTTAAATGGTTGTCGTAACCTAGTTCTCACTTGTGTTTACATATAGGGGCTTTCAGATTCCGAGACGTCTCTCTAGTGTAAGTGTATCTACATTGCAAGGACTTTATATGATAAATCCTGGAAATGTGTGTTGTTGATGTTAGAACCTATCGACTGAGCCTAATCTTTTGAATTTGTGGACATTTTATATCCGTTTTGTGGATTTGAGACGCCTGTTTTTTAATCACAATTCATATATATATATATATATATATATATATTGATAAATATTTGAATGAAAGCTACTTTCTTTGCTACTATTGTTCCACAGAGTGAACAATAACTGAAAAAAAATAAATAACACAAGACAAGATATCCCTGGCTATAGACAGTGGAATAAGAACAAAGTGTCCATGTAGATTAAATAAAGGGTTCAGTTCAAAATTCTTGGAAGGTTACTTTCAGCCACAGACACGCGAAAAAGGTCGGAGGGAACAACGACAGAAACTTTTTGATATTAGCCAGAAAGATGAGAATATTAACCCGAATTTCAGTAAAGTAAATTACGATAGGCCCACATCCCAGAAATTTAAATAGAATCTATCAATCTATTTTTTTCCTTTTATTCCTTTTACAAAGTTTCGGCCAATCTTTTCTCCGGCCTTCTTTTTCAGACGCGCTATACAGAATAGAAAGCCAGTTTGTTTTGGTTGGCTTATGTTGTTTTATGGCATATCAACACCTCAATGACTTATTTAATGCTGACAAGATTTAGGAGAGGTTCATATGAATAGAATATAAATAGAATATGTATTCTTTGTAAGAAATTAGTTTGTAGATCAGGTTTCTGTGACGAATTTTGATAAAGAGGATTTTAGTCGAGAGTCAAATCTATTGCTGGTAATTTAAAAAAAAAGTGTTGCTGGTATTTTTACTATAAAAATGCTTTTTTATACTTCCATAGTGTTTTCTCCCCAGTTTGCGGGTGGTTAATTATTTGCCCATAGCTTGGACCCTAACAGGTGCTGCCACCCCGTGTCAGGGTGGACCTGGGAACAATAACAATTAAGAGGTGGCTCCTCAAAACCTCCTGATATGTGGCCTGGCTGCGGGGTGTAGTTTATCGTCTTGCCCAGGAAGTTAGACATCTGAAGAAGATCGAAGAATGGAGTGGCTGAGACGTTAAGATAGCAACAAAGGTAAGAAAAATTTAGTTTATTAGTTTGGACAACTGTTGCAATGATTGATGTCAAAGTTATCTTGACTATTTTTTGCAGTGGGTTCATTATAAAAGAAAGTATTTTTAATGAAGATTATTCACACAACGAGACACTGAATCACTTACCGCTTCACGAAAACTGTTAATTGTGACGAGATCTGCACCGTTGTCCATACAGTCAAACTGGGCTTCTTCGTAAGGTAGCTTATCGCAGATAAATACATACTTTCTCCCAAATTTCTCTATCCACTCGTAACTACATCCGCCATCTAAAAATGAAAATAAAAGACAAAATAAAAATACAACTAATAAAAATACTGTTTGTGAGTCTGAGAGAGACCTGGGAAACTTTTTTTTTTCGAGCTGTTGGTCGCATCACATATGACATCATAATACGGATGACGCTACTAAAATGATTCGAGGCTATTTTTCGTTGAAGTTATCACAGTCATTTTCACTGCCTTTGAAATGGGGGAAAGGTTTGATTGTTTTTGGAAAAAAAGATTTCTCAAGAATTAAAAAATGAGGTCTTGGTATTTTTTTAAGCGTTTCACCTCAAGCAAAGCAGGAAGCCATTAGTACGCAAGGGATTACAGAGAGTTGAAGCGATAGAAAATAGGAGTGATAGAGGAAAGGATGAAAGGAAGGATAGGGGATAGATCAGGGCATCTGGAGACGTCGATGGACATTACATTTGAATAGTTGGAGATTATAGCTATCAGGGAAACAGGAAAAGGGGAGGGAGTTCCACAGGCGAGAAGTGCGAGACATGAAGCTATTGGAGTAGAAGACATGGCTACATTTAACAGTTTCGACAGTGAAAGGGTGTGAGCGAGATGCCAGCCTAGTAGAACTCTTAAATTCATGAAGTCTGGGAACCAGCGAAAGCAGCTCATCGGAGCAGTTATCATGCAAGTATTTGTAAAAAAGACAGAGGAAGGCGACGGCATGTCTGTGAGAGAGCGACTGCAGATGAGATGCCAGATCAGGGCCAATTATGTTGCATATCCGTCTCTGGATCTTATCAAGAACCTTGAGACAAACAGAAGGGGCACCGGACCATATATGGCAGCAATGTTCCATGCAAGGGTGAATGGTTGATTTGTAAATTTGAAGGATCGACTCCGGCGAGAAAAATTCCCTGGTGCGGCACAGGGAGCCAACTTTACTTGCGGTGGACGAAGCAATTGAATCAATGTATTTGTTCCATCTCAGGTCAGCAGTCAATAGTATAATAATATTAATGACAATGTGATTAACACACGATACTCGGGTGAATTTTTCATTGTTTATTCACTCGAAAATACAAAAAAAAAAATTTGAAATAAAAAAAAATATGTATTTCTTTGCGGGTGGAAAAAATGATTATATACTTTGCCAGTTTCTCAATCAAAAGTTGCTTACAAGCTTGATCATCCTTAGTGAAAATCGCCAATGATGAAAACGTTACTTTCAACGAAATGATACCAAATTCAATTTGCATTTTATCTGATCATTATTTATGTATGAGAAAGTCTAATTGATCAAGTGAGAACGAAAGAACATTTTTAATAAACCTTATTTTTTTCACAGCTACAGGTTAAATAGCAGGGTAGATTGAGTTCTCTATCATTAATGGCATCCAGCCTGCAAGAAGGACAGCTCTGAATTCAAAATCATGTAGACGGCATTAGAAAAACCATTCGAGTATCTTTCTTCAAAATAAATTTGTGGAGATCCATGATAACCTATGGCCTGCATAGAAATGGCATGTAAATATATATTGTATATTTATTGGAAAGTTTCTAAGAGACTTCCATTATACAACGGTTCCACTAGGCAATCAATGCCAATTTTCTAAACTATTATTATTGTTATTATTATTATTATTATTTCCTTTGATTTCTGTTGTATACACACTTCCTTCCGTGTTCCAATTTCTGGGATTTCTTTAAGGCATGGGCGTCCCGGAACCTCCGGTTACAACTGGAATTATTGATGCCCTCATGTGCCACAATATCTGGTAATTGATGCATGGATAGCATACTACAACAAGCAGCTTTGGTATCGGGCAATTTTCTTCTGGTTCTAAGTATTAATCACTTTCCGGTTTATTTTTGCTGTTCATAAAAGATTTTCTTTTTGCAAAAGTTCCATTGGACAATCAATGCTAATTTTCTTTATCCCTGCCTAAATTCTGTCAGTCAACGTGTAAATTGGTATGATTGCAACCAAAAACTTACGAGTTCAAACTTCAATGGGTCATTGCTGATTATTTTCTATTCTTCCTTTTGCAGGTGGATCAATGATTAAAAAATTTTTCTATTTCACTACAGCCGTAATATTTTTTATTATTATTTTATGGAAAACAAAAGGTACTACAAACTAGGGCTGTCAAGAAGGTTGAAATATATATATATATATATATATATATATATATATATATATATATATATATATATATATATATATATACAGGGTGTCCACAAAGTTAGTGTGCACTTTAAATTTATAACTTTCTAAAGTGCACCTGAACGTTATGGACACCCTGTATATATATATATATATATATATATATATATATATATATATATATAGTGAATATAGAAGTCAATACTTAGAGCCTCTAAGTGTTGACTTCTATGTTCACTTTTATATTTACACACGCTCTATCTCTGATATCGAGCACTTTATCCCATAAATATAGCAGACCTTAAGACTATATTTCTTCATATATATATATATATATATATATATATATATATATATGTCTGTATGTATATATGTATTTTTGTCGATATATTTTCTGTAATTGTGAATGATGGTCTATGTTCCGGTTTATCATGACATGAAAAAATAAGTCACCCACTTCTACCCTCTGAGTTTACTTTTCTATTTAGCGAAGATCTGACATTTAATTGGTTAATCAACATATACACATAAGTCTAATTTTAATTCTGACCTCATGTTCCCACCCACAACGTTCGAGAAATAGTTAACACTTTGTTTTTAAATTTCCTTAAAAATCATTTAATCATCAGTTACTTAACATCGTCTGAAGAAGTAGAATCAAAGTATTGAAACCTGAAAGCTTTTGTGTAGCTATTCCAACATGTTTTTATTATAACCTTTATTATTTTTATTATAAAAATAATAATATATTTGTATTGAGTACTTTTAAAAAGTAAAACAGTTAAAACAGTTAAATTTTATTCCATCTGTTTTTCTCCATTTGTATATATATATATATAGAGAGAGAGATAGATAGATAGATAGTATTAGTGATCACACACACACACACACACACACACACACACATATATATATATATATATATATATATATATATATATATAAATTCCCAAGAGGATAGAATCCAGGTCGAACTCAATGTTCAGGACAGAGTAAAAATATAATATAAAAGGCTCAAACACTAATATTCCATGGTTACGATCCAAATCATCAGACCTACAAATTCAAAATTTGTAGGTCTGATGAATTGATTGTGATTATGATTACAATGTAATAAATTATAACCATGGAATATTAGTGCTTGAGCCTTTATATATATATATATATATATATATATATATATATATATATTGAAACTACGCAATGTTTCCTTTTGTATGTATATGTATATCATTTAATTTTTTTGTCGAGTAGTGGCAGAAAGATTTTCTTTTTGCTCCCGCTGCTGCGTAGAGTAATACACCCACAACTAGCCTGAAAAAAAAAAAAGGGCGCGAAACTTCGTCACCTCCGCAGGCATTATAACCTTCAAACCGATTTGTACTTATCTATTACGTAACCTCTTGAATGGACCTGTGACGTCACGTGATCAAGTTTTGCTTACAACGTTTAAAGGAGTCTGTTATTAATCGAAAACGAAGGTAGCGTGTTAAGAGACACTACATAGTATATTTATTCTTCAGCACTAAACATCTTGCAGATATATTCACACCTTAATATAGTGGAAAACCAGATAAAATTGAACTCTCTCGTTGAACGTGCTGACAAGCGCCCAAGTAGACATTTAGTATATTTAGACTAATAGAGTCGAAAGGCTGAGTACACAGTGATGATCAAACATGGCTGCCACTCGACTAAATGTACAAATTAGTTGAGATTTACTATGTTCAGTAACATCTGCCGCAAATCCAAGCCAATTTTTCTAGTAATAAAAAAGAGCACAGATTTGCTATGTCATATTCATCCTCTATCTATGGGAGTGAATGCTGGACAATCTACCCACGAATGAAGATAAAACTGGAGGCAACAGAAATATGGTTCTACAGGAGGATAGTGAGAAGCCACGAAGTTTTAAAGCAAATAGCAATAAAAAGAAGACTTCTACTCAGAATCAGGAAGAAAAAGCTGAAATTCCTTGGACATATAATGAGGAAGGACGGCTTGGAAAACTTAGCACTCACAGGGCAAGAGAGTTAGGGGAAAGCAGCGATTTATCTACCTGACGAGCTTGTGTGGGTGGGTGGCGGAATAGGGGGCGAGAGCTTTAGCAAAGGGTGAAATACTGCTAAATGCTGCAAGACATAAGGAAATTTGGAAAGCCATAATCGTTCATATCCTAAAGGGCCGCGGTACAAAGAAGAAGAAGAAGAAGAAGAAGAAGAAGAAGAAGAAGAAGAAGAAGAGTATATTGGTGATCTATCGCTCTGGCAATGACCTTCAAACTTGGTTCTATGAAAAGTAGCTCAGTTAAAGTTAAAGTTAAGCCAGTAGAGTCCACAATGATGATCCATCTCTTTGACAATGACATACGAATTTGGCTATTGTTCTATGAAAGGTTAATAAAGGTTAATCCTCTGAGCTTTCCAAAGAGTCGAATCATCCACATTTCCTCCGTATTCCATTTTTATGGAGGAAGTTACAGATTTTTCCGCGGGAACTACTACGTTTTGGAACAAACTCTCGCGTGAATGTCACCATGAATACAACGATATTAACCTCTTCAAGTCAAGGGTCAATCGTTATATATCCTCCCTATCCTCATAACTATCGCTTCCTTTTATCTCCTTTACCACAATCTCATTCACTAACTCTTTACAATAAGTGGCTGTTGATCATTGTATTGGGCAGACTTTAGTATTAAAAAAAGCATAAAGTTACTCTATGGTCCCATATTTGTAGCAGACATTTCCGATTCTGTATTACTGATCTGTACGTCCAGCCTC